CAGAGGAGCCAGGTGACAAACTCAAGGTCAGAGCCCCGCAGTGGCCAGGCCATGACCTCACGCCCAGGCCCCTGGCCCCTCCACAGCAGTGCTGACCCAGGGGAGCAGCACCAGCGGGGGGGGGGGGGGGGGCCTGTGCATCAGGGAGCCCTCGTGCCTTGGTGCCATCTGTCACGCTGCTCTTACAGTTGCTACCAAGACAATCCCTTGTGCCTGCCGGTGCATCCTTCGATGTCAGGAAGCCATAGCTGCTTGCAAGAACAGGGGGCCTTGTTCCACTTCCTGGCCCTGCCTATCTGAGTTTCTAGAAATCCCCAGCGATCTCTGGCAGGCACCAGAGGGGGAGTGTGTGGTGGCAGGGAGCTCACAGGCAGCTGCCCAGGCTCATCAGGGTGGGCACTGACACCGCAGAGTGACTGTGAGAAGCCTCCTAACCTCTGGAACCTCAGTCTCCACGTCTGGAAAATGGGGCTATCACTGGAACCTGCACCCTGGGGTTATCAGGAAGCTGCAATGAAACGGTGGGTAAGCAACACTTGGAACAGGGTCCGACACACAGTGACTGCTCTGCTGGTGCTACTCATGATTCTTTTTCTTCATTCACTCCATCCCTCCCTCCCTCACTCACTCTTGCACCCAGCAGACGTATGTTGAGTACCTTCTGTGCGCCAAGCATCGCTCTAGGCACAGTAAATGCAGAGGCGCACTCACTCAGCACGCTTGCTGGGCTCTGACAGCGGATGTGTGACAAGGGAAGTGATGTTGCAACATGGCGGCTCTGCCCTCAGGGGAATAGGTGAGGTGTAGCTCGCTGTGGGGATCCGGAGGAGGGAAGATCACATCCAGCTGTCGGGGCAGGCTCTGCGGAGAACATTCCCCGTGGGAGAAGACAGCTGAGCAAAGACCAGGGTGCTGGGAAGGGCAGGGCAGGCTGGAGAGGGGCTGGCTCAGCCAAGGGCAGCGGGTTCAGAGAGGGGCTGGCAATTCTGTATCCGGCCCCTGGCCTTACACCTTGGAGCTGTTGGTCTGGCTTCATGCCTGTCCCTAGGAGTGGGGACGTTGGGGTGGGGTGGGGAGAGGAGATGAGGCAGGACCAATGCCACGTGTGCAGGAACCTTGTGTGTATACTCCAGCCACTCCAATGCAAGACAGGCCCTGTGCCTCCCCTCCCACTTCCCTGGAGAACCAAGGAGTGTGGGTGCCCAGGACAGGTGTCAGGGCTGGCCTCTGGTGGTGACTCCTAGCATAGCCTTGGAAAGGGGCCGCTGCTCTGCCGGTCTCGCTCAGCAGAGTGCTGTTACACTCTGCCCCACAGAGCCTCTCATCTGGCCGCTTTTGAACTCTGGCTCTGGGTTGCCTTGCTCAACACATCATGGATTGCAATGACTAAAACAAAAGTGTCCACAGAGCAAAGCTCTGGGTGACACTGACAGTGGCGGGCTCGGGAGCATGCCCCATGGCCACATTTGTCCACACATATTTTGATCTCTAAGTCAGCCTGTCACTTTTTTTTTTAAAAGATTTATTTATTCATTTAAAAGTCATAATTACACAGAGAGAGCGGCCGGCGCCTTAGCTCACTTGGCTAATCCTCTGCCTGCGGCGCCGGCACACCAGGTTCTAGTCCCGGTTGGGGCTCTGGGTACTAGTCCCAGTTGCTCCTCTTCCACTCCAGCTCTCTGCTGTGGCCCGGGAGGGCAGTGGAGGATGGCCCAAGTGCTTGGGTCCCTGCACCCGCATGGGAGACTCGGAGGAAGCACCTAGCTCCTGGCTTTGGATCGGCGCAGTGCCGGCCGTAGTGGCCATTAGGGGAGTGAACCAACAGAAGGAAGACCTTTCTCTCTGTCTCTCTCTCACTGTCTAACTCTGCCTGTCAAAAATTTTTTAAAAATATAAAAAATTACACAATTACACAAAGCGAGGAGAGGCAGAGAGAGAGAGAGAGAGAGATCTTCCATCCACTGGTTCACTCCCCAGTTGGCTACAACAGCTGAAGCTGTGCTGATCCGAAGCCACAAGCCAGGAGCTTCTTCCGGGTCTCCCACTCAGGTGCAGGGGCCCAAGCACTTGGGCCATCTTGCACTGCTTTCCCAGGCCATAGCAGAGAGCTGGATTGGAAGTGGAGCAGCCAGAACTCGAACCAGCACCCGTGTGGGATGCTGGCACTTCAGGCCAAGGCGTTAACTCGCTATACCACAGCGCCAGCCCCCACTCTCATTTTTACAAAGGAGGAGCTTCAAGTGGGAAAACTGGCCAGCCTAACACCACCAGCCTCATCTCCGCCAGAACTGGGCCCTTTAAGAAGCAAGTAGGAGCATGTATTGGGCCCAGTGGTTAAGTTGCCACCTGGGTGCCTGCATCCCATATCAGAGTGCATAGTTTGAATCCCAGCTGCCCCACTTCCCACCCAGCTTATTGCTAATGCCACACTCTGGGAGGGTAGGGGATGGCTCAAGTAGCTGGGCCCCTGCCACCCATGTGGGAGGCCAGGATGGAGGTCCAGGTTCCTTGCTTCAGCCTGACCCAGCCCTGACTATTGTGGACATTTGGGGAATGAGCAATGGATGGAAGATCTCTCTGTCTGTCAGTCTCTCTCTGCTTTTCAAATACAATGAAAACAAAGAAGCAAATGAGATCAAAGATGAGACAGTGCTTTGTAAACTGTGAAGTGCGGTGGCGAGGCAGTGCTGTCATCATCGCCACTGTCTACATGAGGTTCTCGGGCATTTCTCAGGGTGGCTGCTTCCAGGGAGGCTGCCAGGAAAAACACACATAGGACTGAGTGTTGACAGTGTGGGCAGTGTGGAAGGAACACAGGATTCAGATCCTGGGACACAGGCAGAGACCCAGTGCCACCCCTACAAGCTGCATGACTGACAGTGGAGGAGGCCCAGGGTGTGGCGCTCACAGAAGCAGGTGGCCTTTAGGGCAGTGTTCAGAGCCCACATGGCACTCCCTGTGCCCCAGGGCAGGAGCCAGCTGCTGACGGTGCTGAGCCCAGCAGCCTGCCTTCCCTCCCAGACACGGGCGCCCTGGCCACACAGCCCTCAGACGCTGTCTGTCACAGCGTCACCTTCCCACCCAGGGTCCTGACTCGGCCCCTAGCCAGTGCTCAGCACCCCCACACTGCCCTGGCTCCTGCATCCTGGTGAGGGAAGCAGAGGGCCAGCCTGGCTCTGTTCCAGGAAGGAAAGAAGCGCCTTCTCTCAGCACCCTGGACAGCGCTTCCTGCCCGCCCGCCCCCAGGGCCCTGGCAGAGCCGCCGAGCTGCTGGCAGGGAAGTGCCCTCCAGACACACCTGCTCGGGCTCAAACACAGCTAAGGGGCCACGGGCCCGTGGGTGGGCTTTGGCTGGATTCCTTCACAGCTCCGGCAAGCTGTCTTCCCAGAAGGCGGGAGGAGGCCTCGGGCCTCCACAGGCCTGCTGCCTCAGGCGCACACTCTCCCACAGGGTCTCATTTTTCCCACTGGAAAGGCGGTGGTGAGAAATGGACCAGGTGACACCTAAGCCCTAAGGCTCAAACAGGATGTCTGGGGTTTCATTCATTCATTCAACAAACATTTATTGAGCAACTGCTGAGTGCCAGACACTGTCCTAGGTATCAGGAACAAAACGGACAAAAAGTCTGCCCTCTTGGGGCTGAATGAGGAACAGTGAAGGAAAAATGAACAAAGATTTATCAGCCAGTGGCAAAAGTGTGTGGGAGAGCTGAGGTGGGGGGGTGTGGGGAGTGGGGAGGGGACTGCAGGTTCTAGGAGTATGGGCAGGGAAGGCCCACAGAGAAGGAGCAAGGGCCTGAAGGAGGTGAACAGCCAGCCGTGTGGAGGAACAGCATCCAGTCAGAGGGAACAGCAGGTGCAAAGTCCCTGAGGCCAAAGCCTGGGGGGTGGGGCAGGTGCCTCCTGGGACATTTGCATCCTAGTTACAGTCCCAGCTACTCTGCTTCCAATCCAGCTTCCTGCGCATGCGTCCTGGGAGACAGCAAACGGTGGTGCAAGTACTTGGGGCCCTGCCATCCACGTGCGAGACCTGGTTGGAGTTCCAGGCTTCTGGCTTCAGCCTGGCCAAGCCCTGGCTGTTTGGGTCACTTAGAGACTGAACCAGCACATGGAAATTCTCTCTCTCTCTCTCTCTCTGGTGGTGGTGGCGGGGGGAGAGTATTCCTCTGCCTTTCAAGTTGATAAAAATAAACTTTTAAAATGCAATTAAAAGATAAGTTTACTTTAAAAAGAAGAAAGAAAGAAAAGAGCGTGCCTGGGCTTCAGCAGGAGGCCGTCTGGGTGCAGGAGAGGAGACGGCGGGTGGGGTGATGGGTGCTTCTGTCTGCTCTGGAGCTCCTCTGAGCCAGCAGGCCAGCGGGTCCTCCTAGTAATTCCAGGGGCGTACGAACTCGCCCACCTACGAGGCTGACTTCAGGCTCCTGCTTAGATGCTGGGACTTCTGTCGGGGGACAGTTGTCCTGAATCTCAAAGCCAAAGCCTCCCGCTCCTCCAGGGTCATGCACACGAGAGCTCTCGGCAGAACAGGAAGCACCTGGGCTGGAGCCCCTGCACCGGACACTCAGTGGCTTAGTCACCTCGGGCGGCTCTCTGAGCTCCCATCTCTCTGATGAACAGCATCAGTTGCCTCATCTGTAAAATGGGTTGTGGGATTTCAGTGAATGAGATCATAAATACACAGGTGTCTTTTACTTTGAAATGGGCAAGCAAAGTGCCAGGGAGGCGTTTGCTTTCTTCAATGAGGTTGTCCCTGGCTCCCACTCCCCGCCACCACCCTGCTGCTCACGTGGGCCCACGTGGGCCCAGCCAACTCTCACTTTGCCTGTGTCCTTATCTGACTCGGGGGTACTCATCAATCACCCAGGGCCCCCCAGAATGCACCAGAGCAGCATTGCCCCCCGTGCCCGTGGTCCTGAGTACTCCCAGCCCAGAGTTGGCTGAGCGGGCCTGGGTGAGCCCAAATGCTCCTCCCCAGCAGCCCTGCCCCATTCCACCTCCAGGTACAACGGCCCCAACTTGGTTCTGAAGTACGACCGGGCTCAGAAGCGGCTGGTGAACATCGCTGTGGATGAGCGCAGCTCGCCCTACTACGCGCTGCGGGACCGGCAGGGAAACGCCATCGGGGTCACGGCCTGTGACATCGACGGAGACGGCCGCGAGGAGATCTACTTCCTCAACACCAACAACGCTTTCTCTGGTAAGGACGGCGTCCCCGCCTCCCTTCCCGACACCTGCTGGTGGCAGGTCACTGGGGACCCTGGCCCTTCCTCAGGCTTCTGTCGCTGGCTCCCAGGCTCTGGCCGTGACCTCCCAGGAGGACCCCACCTTCCCAGGGCACAAAGCGTGTAGTTCTGTGTCCCGGGCCCTGGCAGAGGTGGAGGGGTGTGAGCAGAGGAGGCCACTGGGCCTTCTCCAGCCGTGGCATCTGAGGCCTGCATTTCTGACATGCTCCCGGGCTCCGCTGCTGTCCAGGGGCCGTGCTCGGAGCCGCAAAGTCCCACACGCTAGGGGATGGGTGAGCCATCAGTGCCCGAAAGCTAAGGAATAGCGACAGTGCGCGACAGCAGCTGACACTTAAGTGGTGCCTACCCTGTGCCGGGCCCTGATCCAAACACTGCACGTGAATTGTCACTGTCAGCCCCCCAGTGGCTCCATCACGTCAGGGCCAGTAAATCCCACTATGTGTCGAGCACACACAGGCACCCAGAAGCTCCTGCCTTGCCCGAGGCCGCACAGCTTGCAAGTTCCAGGACTCACATCTGGCTCTGACCCCAGATCCGTCCTTTTAATCCGGACGCTCTCTGGCTCTCTCAGGAAAGCACCTGGCTCCCCTTGGGTCTCAGGGCTTCACCACACCGGGGCTGTGCTCCTGCGCCAGACCCCCACCCCGGCTCCCACGGCTTCTCTGGCCCGACTCAGTCTGCTGAGCTGTGACATCCATGCCGGAGACCCTGGCTGTGGCATGCACCTGAGGGATGCAGGCCCTCTTGTCCCTGTAGGCCCTGGATGTACCCTCCCTCCAGCTAGCAGCAGGCTCCTGGGTCTGCTTGGGATGCAACCTCCCAGCTCAGACCAGGGCAGTCATCATCCTGAACTCTCCCTGCCCCCTAGAGGCTGGTGACCATCTGGCTTTGGGAACCCCCAGACACACATGCACACACTCACCGCCCTTCCCCCACGCCATAATGTTGCCCCTACTGGTTGCCAAGCCCGAGCCAGGCCCCAACCCTGAGAGTGCCCTAAGGTTGCGCCCTGCCAGCCTCGTGAATGGGAGGAGACGGGTTGGAGCCCGTGCCATGGGCAGGGGCGGGAGGTGCTGGCTGACAGCCAGCAGTGTGCAGCCAAGAAACAATGAGCCACAGCCCCGAGTGGTGTTTTATGGGTTTTCATCTCATCTTGCCACCGAGTGAGGCCTGAGAGATAGTAATTATCCCTACACAAATATCAGGGCATGAGCATCCAGCTGGATTTACTGCCCTCCCGCCAACCGAGCCGAGATTGGATTAGGACACAATTAATTGATGGACCGATCAACTCTTTCATGTGGGGCAAGGTCAGCAAGGGGGCAGCACCCAGGGGTGAGTCCCGAGGAAGGCTCCAGGAGGCGCGGCGCGGGGGCGGAGGGGACTGTGGAAGGGCTGCGTGGGACACACAGCATAGAGCGCCTGCGGGGGAGCCTCCGGGTGTCCCCGGGGCAGCAGCCGCTCGCCTGTTCCTCTGTGAGCAGGCCTGTGTCCCTGCCCAGGCGGCACCCAGGAAGCGTGCAGCAAGCCCCGCTCAGCTGCTTCCCAGGCACCCCAATCTGAATGCCGGGGACCAAGTTATCAGATCGTAAAGCTCCCAGCTGATTCCCGCGGGCAGCCGAAATTGAGGGCCACCACCTTGTTCACCTTGTTAGCTCCGGACTCAGCCCAGCAGCAGCCCCGTCTGTCCATTCATGCCTCCAGTCACTGGGGCCTACTCTGGGCCAGCACTACTCTAGGCACTGAGGATGGCTGGAGGACTGAAACCCAGAAATCCTGCCCTCATGGGGGAGGGGTGACACTGCCCCTAGCATGGCCCCGTATTTCTCTAGCTATCTGACTCCCTCTGCCAGCACCCTGGCTGTAAGCTCTTAGGAGCAGCGTCCCTGTGCTGGTCACTTTGTGGCATTCGGTGGCTCCAGCCAGACCCGAACACCTTAGGAGTTCCATTAGAATTGGATGAATGAGTTCCAGGCAGAGCAGGTGCATCCCGGGCCATTAGGACCAGCAGGAGGAAGACAAGGGGAGGCAGGCAGGACACTGGCCCGGAAGGCCCTGGGATCCCAGGTGTCGAGGCACAGGTGTTCTTCTGAAGGGGCTGGAGTGGGCGCCCAGGGCTGGAGGAAAGACAGTGCCCAGACCTAGACCCAGGCACACACCTCCTGGCGACCTTCTGCGGGTTTGAGTTAATTTTCCAGTTGAGTGATCCAACTGATTCATTGCCATTTGTGCCAGGTCAGCATTTCCTCGGGTCTGGCTGGCACGCACTCAGCCATTGCCACCCTGACCACAGCAGGAGCTCCGGCCGGCCCTGGCAAGCCCACAGCCTTCCGCTCGGCCTGCTTCGGCCTATGCTGGAGAAGTGGGGAGTAGGGGGTGGCCAGGGAAGAGCCAGCCCTCTCGCCTCCCAAAGCCGGCCGCTGGCCGTGAACGCTGAGAGAGAGGCCTGGGTCCCTGCAGCTGGGCAGTGTCCTATGGAGTCAGTCTGTATAAACGGGGTTCCTGCCCTTCACACGCTGGGTGACCATGAGCGACCCACTTGGCCCCTCTCGGTCCCAGCTCCCTCATCCATGGGACAGGAAGAGTCCTACAGCTCCATCAGCTCAGCTCCCTGAACGGCCCCTGGACTAGGTCCCAGACCCTTACCCTCCGGGAGCCACTGGGGCACCTCATGTCCTCCATGCTTCTCAAGTTCTGGCCTGAGGCCTCCACACTTGCTGTTTCCTCTGCCCAAAACGTTTTTCGCCCTGGCGTTCTCAGATCTCATGCCTTACATGAGGTCTTCCGGGAGCATTAGCTCTGAAGTCATGCCCCTGCGCCTCCCAGTGCCTTCGCCAGCCTCGGTCGCCTTCCAAGCCCCGGCTCGCTGGGTGTTTACTGCCTGTGCCTCCTGCTGGAGCCCTGACACACCGTGGGGCAGAAACTTTGTCTTGCTCACTGCTCCAGGGCCCAAAGAAGTGCTTGTCACTTAGCACTGAATACGCCCGAAGCTAAGGAAGGCAAAGCACCTGGAGCCGTACCTGGGACTCGGTGTGCACTCTCTGAGCGGTTGCCGTTTGATTCTGTGGCTACGAAGATGCTGGCTGAGGCCTCTGCAGCTGCCCTGGGCACAGGGTCCCGGGCTTCCTCCCGGCCGGCGTGGGGGAGAAAGGCCCTAGGAGCACAACAGCTGTGGCGTAAACAAGACACTGCCCCGAGGATGGCGCCAGGAGGGCCTGGATCCCTGGCAAGCAGGTGAGAGAGGGAAAGGAGGAAGACTGCTCACGTTCCAAGAAGCCAGGGCCTGGAGTCCTGCTTCCGACCTGATCCAGCTGGGAAAATACGAGGCACGGTGTTCCAGGCAAAGCTGCTCAGTGAAAACCAGGCAGGAGAGTGTGCAGACAAGGCGAGAGGCGGGGCCAGCACCTCCCGATCAGAGCCCATCCCCCTAGGGGTCCTCTGCCCGCCCAGCCCAGCCCTTCATGGCAGGGTCTTGAGCTCTCCCACCCACAGGACTGGCCGGGGGCATCAAGCACGTGGGTAGTGGATCTTCTATGTGCAAGGCACTGTTTGAAGAATACATATACCGCACCCCTCTTCTGCACAACCGTCACAGGCCCCACTCGTGGTTCTGCACCTTGCATTTCTCGTTTAGCTTTGTATTCTAGATCTCAGTTCATGACCATTCACAGAGGGCATTCTCATTCTTTTCCTGCCTGTATACTACTCCATTCACAGGCTCGGCATTAATCTCATGGATCCTCAACTGATGAACATTTAGAGTGTTTGCAATCCTTTGCCTTTACAAGGAGTGCCACCAAATGAGTGTGGACACTGTACCACTGTCCACAATTGTGGGTACATCTGTCCTGCATTTTGTTTGGTTTTTTGTTATTGTTTTCTTTTTTTAATGTTTATTTTCATCTACTTGAAAGGCAGAGAGAGAGAGCTCTTCCATCCACTGGTTCACTCCCCAAATGCCTACAAGAGCCAGGGCTGGACCAGATCAAAGCCAGGAGCCCGCAACTCCATCTTGATCTCCCACGTGGGTACAGGGGCCCAAGCACTTGGGCCATGAATCTGCTGCCTCCCCAGGCGCACTAACAGCAAGCTGGCTCGAGGCCGAGGAGCTGGGGCTCAGGCTGGCACTGCAGTACAAGATGTGGGTGCCCAAGCGGCAGCTTAGCCCTCGGTGCCACCGTGGCCACCCCGCAGGAGTATCTGTCGGACGTTCACAGAGGGGCTCGCTCCCTCGGAGGAATGTGCAGTGTGGTTTCGCGAGGCGTGCCTGACGTGCTTCCTGGAGACGCTTGTTCCGGTCCCTCACCCGCGGAGCACCATCCCGCCCTCACCAGGACAAAGTCTCATCAATTCCTTTTAGTGTGTGCCAACCTGATGGGGAAAAATTGATTTCCAAGTGTAGTTTTAATTTTCATTTTTCTTAAAATGAGTGAGGCTGAGAATATTTTTATGTGTTTGAAACTCTTGCCTGCTCAAAGCCTTTGCCCATTTTGTTCTATTGATTATTGGGCTTTTCCTTATGGATTTGTAACACCTCTTTATAAATTAGGGAAATGAGCCCTTTGTCTGAAATACACAAGTCGCGGAGAGCTCTCCCTTGTTTGTCATTTTTCTTTTGTCTTTGCTCACGTTGGGTTTTGCAGCGGGGGAAGCTTTCATTTTGTGGACTTGGATTTATCGCTCTTCTTTACGGCTTCCTGGCTCCTGTCGTGTCTGGAGAGGCTTCCGCGGGGGCTTTTGTAACCTCTTGGAGAGGAGAAGAGCACCTGTCCCCATGCCGAAGAGGAGAAAGGAGGCCCGCATGGCGGCACTTCCAAGCCTCTCCTGCCTACACAACGCACACACAAGCGCCCTGATCTTGGGAGGAGCACTCTCAGCCAGCAGCTCCTTGCCTGGCTACTCCAAGTGTGATGGGTGGACCAGCGGCGCTGCAATCGGCTGGGAACTCACAGCT